GGTTGGAACAATAGTATTATATATCAGGTCATACAAGATTTGTTAGTCTTAGTTACATCTATCATGAACAATGAAATCTGAAGTAGGTCTGAAACTTCTGAGGCAGCCAGGACATCTGGGTCAAACTCATTAGTGATATTATGCTTAAGCTTTCAGATACTTAAGTCTACTATGGTTGGTGAACCAAATTAATCTTGTAACATTCCAAAGGACTGGACCACTTTTTCTTTAGTGAGGACCTGCAATAGGAAACAAAGGCCTTTATACAGCAAAGGGCATGTTGGACACCAGAACAATTCAAATGCCTGAGTAACTCAAAGGGTAAGGGTGAGTGTTAGAGATGTAACAGCATAGACTAATCTATACACATACTATGGAGCTGCCCAATACTGATGGCTTTGGGTTCAAGGTCCTTACCAGAAAAAGTATACTCCTGGAAACTTCAATCAGTGAAAAGATGTCCATGCCTCAGTGGGATATATTGCAGGCAAATGGGACTTGGCAGAGTGACATGATGCATGGTTTAGTAAGGCCACACTAGCAGCACTGTTTGTACAAAACTGGAAAGTGAGGAAAACCCAAAATATATGAGTTGGATTGAGGATCTATTTATGTTAGCTGCTTATACAAAGATATATTATACCATATTACTGAAACAAAAACAGCTTTCTTGAACATTGCAAAAATGGGGCTGGCCAGCAAATAAACATAATTAAAATATCCCTTTATTTATTTCAAATTATTTGTTTTTAAACATTACAGAAATATCAATTTATCTAATTTCGCTTAAAGAAACATTGACTCTTTAAACAGTGGGCAATATAAAGAAAGGTGGAATAACTTAGCAAGATGGGAAGGGGAACAGGAATCAGGAGTGGATAAAAGAGTTTGCTTTTTTTCTACTAGAAAAAATGAAATATAATAAACTGCTAATAGCAAAAGAAAGGAAATAGAGCAACTTCCCTATGAGGAAACAACTGAGAATGGGGAGTGAGTAAAGAGAGACATTATAGAAGTATAATGCATGGTTTGAAGAAACTGGAGAGGATACATTTTTTCCCTTCCCACATAATACTAGTTTTCAGGGTCATTCCATGAAGCTAATTAGTAACAAATTCAAGACATATGCTTCGTCATACAGCACACAGCTAAACTGCATAATTCAATTCCACAAGATATAGAAGATGCAGAGATGGCCACCAATCTGAATGGCTTTAAAAGGGGACTGGACAAATTCATGGAGGAGAAAGCTATTAATGGCTGCCAGTCCTGCTGGTTATAGACCACCTCCATTAGCACAGGCAGTGTGTTTATGTTTGCCACTTGTTGGGAAATCTGGGAAATAGGGTGCTATTACACTAATATCCTCCTTGTGGAATTATACAGACAGCTGGTGGACCACTATTTGAATAGAATGCTGAACTAGATGGACCCTTGGTCTGACCCAGCATTGCTGCTCTTATGTTCTTAAAGAAAAGCCTGTTTTTGCTGAATCAGACTAAGATCCCATGCAAACTAAGACTACATACTCCTGACAGGTTACAGATTTCAGGATCATGGGCCAGTTTCTTCAACCAGAAATGGAAAAAATGAAACCTAAGATTTATATAGGTAAAGTACACTTTCTTTCCTGGGATCCTGCCTTCATGATTTCAATAATATGGAGCAGCAAGTACTAAGATTCTGTCCTTTAATAAATATAAATGTGTATTTACTAACATAGATCACTATATTGCACAGCCATATAAGTCATACTTGTGACAAGTTTTAGTTTTGTGATATTTTCCTCTGCTGGTGCACTTTTGTAACATGACATATTTTCCATCCTCTACTTTTTGTTTGTATTTGTATTGTTTTAATTTGTGGACAGAAAGCCTATTTGCATTCCCTTTCAAAGCAAGTAAACATTCTTCAATTCATCTTGTTAAGCACGAGTTACCTGGGAATTTTAAGTGGCATGATTCATGAAGTGGAGCAAAGCTTTTCAGAGCATACAATAGTAAATAAATTAAAATATGACACTTCAGTACAAGAATGTAAAGCTATATGATCAGTAAGATCAGGTTCATTTTGACAAAAAAAGCAAATAGTCATTCCAGTCTTGAATTGTAACCATATGGCTATGCATAATGAGAACTAGTAACCCAAAACACAAGCACTCTATGACTACTTTTTTTCTGTGTGCTCTCTTCAAAAAGTTCTCCCTTAGCCATTAGACTGAAAAGAAAATGAATAAATACATGAGAGCTAGTCTGGTATCTTTCAAACTGGTTCAGTGAGCAATTTCTTTGCAGAATTTTACAGATACAAACATGCTTGATAGCTATGCATGTATATCTATCCATGTATACCTATAACTATATGAAACAGTGCACAGCTCTGCAAACAATTAAATGTAATTAAGTAGCATTTATTTCAGTGGTACTTTATAGCCTTTTCATTAGTGGACTTTCCTTATACTGTATTACACTGAAAATTGAAGTGGACTGTCCTTATACTCCGTATTACACAGAAAGTCCCCGGGCTATTAGGGTGGTATATAAATGCAATAAAATAAAATAAATAAATAAAAATAAAATAAAATAATTCTAAGCCAACATTAATTATCGGACAATAGAGTTCTTACACTCATCTATATTATACAGAATTGAATCAGATATAAATATGCAAATCTAAAGACATATAGTAGACAGTAAGTGCCATTAAATTCAGTGGGACTTTGATGCCAATTGAGCACAAGAATGAAGTGAGAAATATGAAACACAAGAAGAGATAACTGTTTTACATTCTCACCACACTGTCTTCTCTCACTTTCCACTGGGTATTCAATGCATAAATAGTATCTTCATAATGGCCACCATCTTTAGGGCATAATCCTATGTCTCCAGATAATGCCCGGAAGATAACAGGATTTTTCAGAGTCTGAGCACCAAGTCCTGTGACCTTGATGTACAGCAGAGGTCCTCAAACTTTTTCAACAGAGGGCCAGTTGGAAGGTCCCGGCAGTCCGCATGGGCCAGTGAGGGGGTGGGGCAGGGGTGCGCATGTGGGGTGCGGCGGAGGCGCGTGTGTGGGGCGAGGTGGGGGTCGCGCAGTGAGGTGGAGGTGGGCGCATGTGGCAAGGCAGCATGAGTTCAAAATGATGTCTGCGTGAGCAAGCCGCTGCCTCTCCCCACGGGCGCACCCCCACCTGCGGTCCAAAACTTCTGAGGCGGGCCAAATAAATGGGCATGGTGGGCCGCATCTGGCCCACAGGCCGTAGTTAGTGGACCCATGATGTACAGGCTCCAAAGACCAAGCTCTTGCCCCACCCACTACAGCCAGTGTGGAAAGAACAGCAGTGGCTATGCTTTAAAGCTGCAACTGGGCCCAGACGTGGGGAAAATTGAGGTTTCAGGAGATGGTGGAGGAGGAAGCTGGGACTGTAAATTTGCACTAATTCTAAGTGGCACCTTAGCCTCCTTCTCCTTCCAGATTGCCACCACCATGCCTTGCATTAGATGCTCATAAGCCTCTGAGTTTGGTGTCTTATAAACATCTGCTGAGAAAGCAATAGGACTGTTCCCTAATTTGTTCACTAGAAATAATATATATATGCAGAAGAAATACTGGCAAACCCAGATATCTATCATTCTGTGCATTGCTTGGCACTGCCTGCGTATTTCACTGCAAGTTTTTTAAGCCAATGTGTGTGTATGCAGAAATTTGCAAGAAACAGATGGACGTGTGAGTCTTCCATGACACTTTCATCAGTCCTGTACTATATGGATGAAACTATCAGCTATTTCAGACAAGAATGCATACTTTCATGTAACATTTGGCGCCATTAGACACTGTTTTCCTTCTCAGAGCGATAACTGAGCACTATTCATTGTTGTATGCAAATATATCTGGATCAGGGCCAAGAAGTTTAAATATTACAGTATTTTTACAACTAAAATCAACTTATGACAGACATACAGTATTTTGGGAGGAAATGAGTTACATCCATTAGTTCTTTTCCACTAAAAGAAGACATTTTCCTCCAATGGAAGTAATTTTTAATCCATGCCAATGTTCCATTTTTCTTAAAAAGTAGTTATTTCTATGTTGGACAAAATAATCTTAGATTAATTCATCAGAATAATCCTGAATCCATTTTATGTCTGCAGGCTAAGATATATAGCAATAAATATTGACAGTCACTTAAAATTTATAACAGCACTTACAGGTGAAAAAATAACCACCCAAACCAACCTAGGAAAATACTCCCCTTCGCAGTCTACTCCTCCATTTGCAGAAAGGAGATTTAGCACTTCCAGAAGCAACCTGAAACTGGCCAGGCTGGCAGAACTCACATAAGGAAACTCAATTGACCTACCCTGTCCCAGAAAAGAGCATCTCATCCTGGAAGTGCTTAATCTTCTTTTCTCAAAAGATGGGCACCATTTGTGGAAGAACTGACCACTCTTGGAACAGAGAGGGTTGTAGACTTGTAGATGGGCAGCACTGCATGGTGCCTGTTATTTTCAGACAGTAAGAAATATATCTGGGATTATCAGCATTCACATGAAAATCTCCACATTCACCACATTTTAGTCATTACTTGTAGCAAATACATCTCTTTATCTGCAGAATATAAAATAATTATCAGAAGATTACCAACAGAATGATCACTGACATGGTATTATAATAACATCGGATGTCAGGAGTGATTTATCAAAATATTTAAATACATGTGTTAGAGGTTTTTAGGGCCCTTGTATAGCCAGAAGAATGAACAAGATACAGTTGGATCTTCATTAGCTATGTGTTTCAGTTTTAAATAAATTTGTAAAATGCATTTGGTTGCTAGTTTAAAAGTATTGCATAAGATTTCAAGATTTCAAGAAAATACATGCATACAAACTAATCACCTATATTGTTGTTGTTTCTCTTAGTCATAAAGTAAACATTCAGAGATAAAGATTTCAGTTTATTTAAGCATCAATATACAGGGTTAATGTGCATTCCATATTTACCTGGAATGTCATTATCTTCAATGCTTCCCTCAACTGATCCAATGGAATAGTTTGCTGGACTGATTGGTGGGCTGGAAGTAAAGCTTGCATATCCTATTGAAGAGTTGATTTCAAAATAATCATGGCTGTGATTTAGTCGATGAAATTCAAAAGCTGATACTATTGATGTACGTTGCTTGGGCTGGAAGAAAGAAATGAGTTGAAATGTTAATAGTTTCATTTCCTTTCTACCTCTAAGTTTCACTACCTCTTAAGTATTTTTTCTTTTAATCAAGAATTCAAACATATCCAATGACTTTCAGTTTATAATCTATACATAAGTTCTAGGATTGTTTTATCTGTTAAGAAGGATGTCTATATTATAAACTGAAAATAAAAACACAGCACAGGATAATATATCTTCAGTACAAAAATCCAGATGTGACAATGCCTTTGGAGATTTAAAATATCTATATTGTAGTATCTTTTTTCAAAGCAACTCTGCAAAATGAGCATTTCAGTCTTGAACCAATGGCATGATCGTATTAAAAGTCTAGACAGCTATGATAATGAACAGAATTTAAATAAACATTTTGTTATGTTCTCAGATATGATCTTGATAATATGTAAGTTCAAAATAAAACTATGTCAGGAATCTACAGCAATGTGATCAAAAGTGTTTTACACATTCTAAAGGAGAAATACCTATTCAAAGGGTCATTGGTGCATGTCAGCTATCCTTCCTGCTTTGATGTGCATGTAGTTTAACATGCATCTCCAGACCTTTTTCTGAGAGCTTATGGATGACAAGTCTACTATTTATAATTTAGCAGAAGGAATTTGACATTCATGTACAGAATATGTTAAGTATTTAGTATTTTTGCCTGAAGGACACACTATATACAGAGTATCAATAGAGGGAGATTGCAGGAAAAGACAAAAGAGCACCCCTACTTTAATTGGAGGATTAACATTATAAATTATTGAGCCAGTCAATTAAATATAATTTTATCCAAACCCAAGACCAGTGGTGGCGAAACTATGGCACCCGTGCCACAGCAGGCATGCAGAGCCTTCTCTGTTGGCACGCGGGCCAAGTCATCCCAGCATCGCCCCAGCAGCCAAGCATCAGATAACTGTACACATGAGAACATGCGCATGCTCGGAAAGGAGTAGTGGCGCCAGGCAATGATGTGACGAGTCACGACTCATTAGCTGCAATTCATCTGAGCTTTTGCATGGCTGGTTAGTGCGCTGCCAAGTGTGTGTGTGTGTGTGTGTGTGTGTGTGTGTGTGTATATATATTGCTTAGACTGGCTGTTTTTTCTAAACTAAAACCTCAGTTTTCAGGTTTTATTGCAGTGTTGGCAGTTTGCGATAAATAAGTGGGTTTTGGGTTGCAGTTTCGGCACTCAGTCTCTAAAATGTTTGCCATCACTGCCCTAGGCTCATTTATAGCAGACGTCCAACATATAGCAATATACATTTCAGATTTGAAATCCCTGATCATTTCAAGTTCTTCTAACAGTGTTGCTGTCTAGAAAGGGATCTTTCAGTATATACCACATCAATTAAACATTTATTTCCTTTTCAATGCTTATACATCTCTTATTGCAGAATATCAATCTATTCACTTTATCCAGATCATTTTGAGTTTGAGTCATACCTCCAAAATATATAAAAAAACTTACTGTATTCTCAGTCACTGACGAAGCACTGAAAGTCATGCACAATTTATTTATTATTGTTAATATGACTTTTATTATCATAAATTTATGTCTCCAGTGGCAGCACAGTACACATTTCCAGATATTATTCCCTTTTCCTTTGAAGATGGGGGAAAAAAAGCCATTTCTGCTGATCGGAGAACATGAGAGAGGACATAGGGAAGAGGCAGTCGCTGAGATAATTAAATCCAGTACTGCGCAAGGCTTTAGACCAGGCATGTCCAAAGTCCGACCCGGGGGCCAACTGCGGCCCGTTTTCAAATTTCGAGCAGCCCGCAGTCTCTTCTCCCTGCCAGCTCAGCCTGTCACTCATCCCTGCCGGCCAGCGTTTTTCCCTTCACCGCACAGCGGTTCCCACAGCTGTCCCCTGCTGCCCCCTGCTCCTTCAAGGCTGGTGGTTATATTTCACCAGAAGATGGCAGTAGACCTGAGTCAGCACTCTCCCGCGTGACCCTTGTGACACAAGGCTTGTGTGCCCATTTCTAAAATGGCAACTGTAACTAAAAAAAGGAAAGTTGACAGCGAGGGCTGCCGCTTCCAGGACAAGTGGAAATTGGAGTATTTTTTCACTGAAATACAAAACAACTGTGTCTGCCAAATTTGCCAAGAGACTGTGGCTGTTTTCAAGGAATTCAATATCAAGAGGCACTACCAGACGAAACATGCTAACTACAACAAGCTAACTGGGAACGAACGCAGTGAAAAATTGAAGGAACTGGAAGCTGCTTTAACGGCACAGCAGTGCTTTTTCACAAGAGCCCGTGGGTCAAATGAAAATGCCACAAAGGTGAGCTACGAGGTGGCAACACTGATTGCCAAGCACTGCAAACCTTTCACTGAGGGTGAAATTATTAAAGACTGCGTGATGAAAATGGTGGAGAAAATTTGTCCTGAGAAGCAAGAGTTTGCCAATGTTTGCCTGGCTCATAACACTGTGGTATGGAGAATTGAAGACGTTTCATCTGATATTAAGAGACAGTTAGAGGCAAAAGGAGTGGAGTTTGACTTTTTTTCGTTAGCCTGCGACGAAAGCACGGATGCATCTGACACCGCTCAGTTATTGATTTTTTTGAAAGGAGTGGACAATGACATGAACGTGAGTGAAGAGCTACTTGACCTCCAGAGCCTTAAGGACCAAACAAGAGGAACAGATTTATTTGCTTCTGTTTGTTCCGCCGTAGATGACATGAAACTACCATGGAATAAAGTCACTGGGATTATTACGGATGGCACACCTGCCATGGCTGGCGAGCGAAGTGGATTATCAACTTTAGTCTGTAACAAAGTCAGCGAAGAAGGAGGCAAAGCTATAAAACTCCACTGTATTATTCACCAACAGGTTCTCTGTGCCAAACATCTGAAATATAATCATGTTATGAAACCGGTGATGAAGGCTATTAATTATATTCGCTCCAAAGCCCTGTGCCACCGCCAGTTTCAACAGTTTCTACTCAACATCCAGGCTGAATACGGAGATATTGTGTATCACAACGAGGTAAGATGGCTCAGTCGGGGGTCTGCACTGCAGCAGTTCTACTCTCTGAGGGAGGAAATCGGACAATTCTTGGCAAAAAAAGGGACAACCGATGCCAGAACTATCTGATCCTGTTTGGCTGGCTGATTTTGGATTTTTAGTTGACAAAACACGGCATCTGAACGTGCTGAACACGTTTCAGGGGCAAAATGCAGTGGTAAGCCAACTGTATTCACATATCAAAGCCTTTGGGACCAAGCTGCTACTTTTCCAAAGGCACCTGTCACAAATGCAGCCCAATACCACACATTTCCCTTCGCTGCAGGAAATAATGACCAGTTTTCCGCAGAACAATATGAGTGCGCAAATAAGGAGGTATGAAGCAGACATCTCATCTCTGGCTGAGGAGTTTCAACAGTGCTTTCGGGATTTTGCAGCTATTGAAAAGGAGATCACGCTTTTTTCATCTCCTTTCTCTGTGGACCCTGATGACGCTCCAGACCACCTGCAGCTGGAGTTCATTGAGCTGCAGTGTGACGCCGAGTGGTGCAGTCAGCACCAACAGCTCCCTCTTGTCAACTTTTACTGCCAGCTGGATAAAGACAGGTTCCAAGAGATTCGAACATTTGCTAAGAAAATGCTGAGCTTGTTTGGTTCGACATACTCGTGCGAGAAGACATTCTCGGTTATGAACATTAACAAGAACCGTGTGAGGACGAGACAAAGTGACTTTCACCTGCGTGACATCTTGTGCATCAAAACCACTGTTTTTGAGCCAAACCTGGCCTATATAATGCAGTCGAGATCTCACTATCACCCTTCACATTAGTGCAGTTAAGTTATTTGTTTAGTCTTTCATGAAATAGTTCATTTGCATTTAATATTAATGGTTCAAAGTATGCCAGGCTGAATGCTCAGCCCCCACACATTTTCACCTCACCAAATCTGGCCCTCCCTGCAAAAAGTTTGGACACTCCTGCTTTAGACACACACTGACCTAAATGCAAAATCTCCAAAACCTATGGAACCTGTTATCTCCATAATTTTATCTCCTTAATTTCCATGCTAAGGCTGCCTCTTGAGTTCCAGCTTGTTACTTGATGGACTCTGGCAACTTTCTGACAATTTTAGTTTCCCATCAGCCAAGAACATGAAGCAGACCATACCCTTAATTCCATCTTTGTTCCAAGCTTTCAGATAAGTAACCTGAAAATGCATAAGGATGGGTCCAAATAATCCCACTGCCATGGTCAGACTATTTCCTGGTGAGTTTTGAACTTCACTTCTGCAGGGATGAGGGAACCATTTGGATGGTCTGCCACAGGAACCTGACAGAATCCAAGGGTTATCTGAATGTTCTAGGGCATTTTGCTTTACTATTTTGATTACATCCTCAAGTGCCTGTCCAGCAGATCTCTTTTGTGCAATCTTTTTCTGTTAACATTCTCCCCAGCAAATAGGGCCCTGATCCTAAGACTCTCTGTGATCTTTTTGGGTCACACTTAGGTCTCTGACAAGCAAGAACTTAATGCTGTTACTGGCAATAGCTCAAGGTGAAGTAGTTGACACTGCCACTTGTAGGTTCAATTTCAGTTGCTGCACTCTGCTATAAAAGCTGCACCTTGCTATGACCAATGTCTTCTTGCTCCCCTTGGCTAATAAAAGATAGCCAAGAGGATATGTGTGGGTGGGTTCAGGGAACGGTAAATGCATCTCTGCATGAAGGAGTGGTTCCTCCTGTTCTCAATGTATTAGTGCAATCACTCCTGATGGAATCAGTTCTGAACCCAATGATATTTGACAAGTAGCATTCAGGTGCAAATGCCTCTTTCCTTCCAAGGGAAGGTACTTGAGATGGCCATGGCAGAACAACTGCAGGGATTATTGTAGGATATAAAGAGAAGGATATCCTTCTCTTTCTCATCCTATATTTTTATTTTATACTGATAATTTTAATTTTGTATTTGTAAAGCAATGTATTTTTTGTATTTTTATATTTAATGGTAATTTATTATGTACTATTGTATTTCAATGTATTTTATCATGTTGTAAGCCGCCCCGAGGTTTCGGCAAGGGGCGGCATAGAAATGTTAATAATAATAATAATAATAATAATAATAATAATAATAATAATTATCCAGATCCATTCCAGATTGTGTTTTGACCTGTTTTACTTTACTGAATCAGCCTTTTCACCCTGATTGATTACTTTTATTGAGAGATGGACAGGGAATTGAGACCCTGTTAAATCTGCTTGATGTATCATCAGCTTTTGCTACCATAAACCATGATATTGCTCTGGATATTCTGTAGGCTGGGCACTGAAGGTTACAGTGGGTCTGGTGCTACCTGCAGGGTCAGCTTCAGAATGCAATTCCTCACCCCCTTGGTAGCTGAGCTGTTGGGTTCTGTAGGCTACTATCTTGTCCCCCATGTCTTTTAATATGTATATGAAACAGTTGGGAGCAATCATTAGGGGATTTGAAGACAAATGGATGACACACATCCCTGTTTCCCTGTGACCTCTCAGTCAGGTGAGACTGCAAGTCCTGGATCCGTGTCTAGACTCAGTGACAGGATCACTAAAGGACAATAAACTGAAGCTATATTTTGGTAGTCTAGGAGACTGGCTCATTGATTGTTCTGTATGGGGTTGCACTCCCTTCCAAAGATCAGGCTCATAGTTGGGGGTTACTCCTAGATCCATCATTGTTGCTGTGGGCATGGTTTTCTTGATTTGACTTTCTTGATTTTGTTTTAAACATACTGATTTATTATTTTAATTGTTTATCTGTTACTGAACACTGCTCCAAAATCTCCATACTAGAATATGGAGTGGAAATATTATAAATAATTAAAATAAAATAAACAAGTGCTGTGTCATTTGCAAGGTTGATACACATGTTCTCTATTTCATTCATTCATTCATTCAAAAATATTGAACAGAGTGCACTCAAAGAATGCAATCCTGTTGAATTCAGTGAGAGCCAAGCCACTGCCTTTAATTAAGTCCAGACATTACATTAGAAATGAACTAATCCAGCAGCAGAGCTATTCAATGTTCTGGGTCCATCTGTTGAGAATTCCATGATGAAAATAGCATTTAAAAGCTGTTTTCAATTAACTATCACACAACAGATTGTTCTAACAATAACGCTAATGCTTTTCTGTTTTCTTGACTGCCAGCCACTAACTAGAAAAAAATAATTATGGCAGAAAGGGATAAATAGGGATCCTGTAGAAGAAAGACAACAGGGAGTGTGCAGTTATAGAGGGGCTTGAATAGACAACATGTAGTACAAATTTCTTGTAACTACTAGGGTAAAAAATAAAAAAATAAAAGAAAATTTATGAGCCACCAAGAAAAACATGAAGTTGAAAATAACAGTGATGTAGACACTAACATTGTTTGTATTAGGGATGCATGAAGAATCTGTTATAGGCAGAAAATCCACTGGATTCCCTTGTTTCAGCTTCCTGGACTCCAGTCTGCTTTGCTGCAGTTCAGAGTCCAAGTTTCTGGTGAGTGCTTGCTAAGAATCAAGATGGTGGCAATAACTGGGTGGAAAGGTTGGCCACTCGGAATGGTGGCTGGTGTATCTGCTTGCTGTGCCCCTTTTTTGCATGCAGAGCTCACAGTGGCAGTGAGTGGAGAAGAAAGTTGGCCACTGGGAATGGTGGCTGGCACACCCACTCACAGCATGCTGTCACCAAGTCCGAACTGTGCGACCAGCATCTTTTCTCTGTATCAGCCCAAAAGGCTGGCTGTAGCTGGTGCAGAGGAAAGATACTGTTTCCATAGTAGTCTAGGGGGCTGTTTTCCTGGTGGGCACATGGTAACCTGATAAGTGTTTTCTGACGGTCACAAAATCAAAATACTGGGTAAGCTATCTCTGCTTAGGTCTAATTAAAATCAAGCTTGAAAATAAAACAAGAAGTGGGTTTTTTTAAATAACATAAGAGTATTACAATGTGTTAATTTCTTTGTATCCTTATAAATTTATTTGGTATTAGGGTATTCTATTTAATTCATACTATTAATTTTTCTTATCAGAATAATATGAGAAAATGACAATTTTGCAGATAATATTAATACAAATCAGTTTCTGTTTCTGATACCCACCTGAGGTCGTATAACTTTCACTATATTTTTCAGTGCAGTGTCTGGTGATGGAGGAGAGCAGTCAGGTGTTGGGCCTGTTGAACTGTTTCTATGGTTACTTGTACCTGGTTCAATAATTGCTACTTGAGGTGCATTATCTGTGAATAAAAATAGCAGTATAGTGATTATAAGATTGTACATCATATTCATTTAGAAAGAGGAAACTGGCTATGAAGACAAAGATTACACCTAAATATGCTGTTGTTATTACCAGGTATAACTGTTATCGCTTGCTTTCAGTTTGAGATACTCACTTATTTTGAAAAGGAATGCAGTCCTGATTAAAATTATTGCCAAGAACCCCAATCCAGCAGAACTACATACATGCAGAAAAATATTTGTGTGGGGGATTGTTCCTCAAGACATGCCTCATGCATTCAGAAGGATGCTGGAAGTGGCAGAGGGTAACCCTATACTGAGCATTTAGAGATATATGGATGCTTCAGTTGTGTGCAGATATGTGAACAAATGGTTTGCACTGTCTGTGGATGGTACTGATTTCTAGCACCCCTTTCAAGCTCCAGTAGATTGCTTGTCCACAGTAAAATTTACTCAATGTGTGGCTATTCAATGCATTCTCAGTAAGGGCTACTGTCAGTTGCTCCAGTCCCTGTACATATCCCAATTGAGTAAATACGGCAAATTGCAGTGCTTGCATGCAGAGAATTTTTTTCTTGCAAAATACTTAGACTATATACTTAGACTATATAACAGATTAAAAATGTTTACAGGAAGAGTTTTATATCTAAACACAGATGGTGTAGAGTAGTGATAATGACTCTGTAAGAGAATTAGCACTTTTCTCATTTGTTTCCCTTCATCTCTATTGCTCTGTGTTCATCCAGGAAAGCCACTGCTAATTTTAAAAGGAATACTTATGTAATGCCTAAGCCTACAAAATCTTAAAAGATGGACACAAAAAGCTTGATAAAAACTCAAACAAAGGAAAATAGAGTTGCACACATCTGTTTCTTCTAAGAATTAAGGTTGCAAGGTAGTTTACTCTTCTAAACACAGAAGCAAAGAAATGCAAATATTTGTGATCTATGATTGGACATCACTGTGTTTTGAATATGGGATTCCTGACTGGGAAATTAACAACAGTTAAGGAGGTTTTGTATTGCCAGGCTATAAATCCTATTACACATGTGCTCCAAAACTGTCCTTACAAAAGTATAGAAACCTATAGAATTTTTCCCTCTAAACTCTATCATATCATACTCAATTTCTGTTCTATATGTTCTGTCACATTTAAAATCCCTTTATCACAAGCCACTGGTGTTCAAACTTTAGGAATTTCACTAAAAGGGCAATAGAGATCAGTTAGAACCCATGCCCACAATGAATATAAGGAAAGCAAATATGAGGAGGGCAAGGTATAAATGGCATATAAATGACACCAATGTAGTGAGAGAACTGATTTCATGCTGTTGTGGAAATTAAGGCTGTGCTAACAATTCCTTTTTAAATAATTGTAGTACTAACATTGGATGCACTCTATGATTCTTCATAGGAATTAACTTCAAGGCTAATTCCAGGAGGTTATTCATACATTATACTAAACAATACTACAAAGCTACCTTTCTTATCTTGTGTCCTGCATTCACACATTCATAAGGTAACTATGCTTGAGTAGTTTCTACATGCTGCCATATCCATCCAATTGGTGGTATGGGTCACATCATCTAGGAATCAACTCCAGGGTGCACAACTCCTGGGCATCTGCCTGGAAAGCTTTTCTGGCTTGCTGCAAGGAATGTGTGTGTCCTACAGCTGTGGCAAGGGGTGGGGGACACTGGAACTTGTTGACAGCTCTCAGGAAAGCTAGGGAGAAGACAGGAGTGGTACAGAGGCCAGGAGAGAGAGAAGGCGACCCAGGTTTCTCAAGGCAATTGCTCTGATGCTGATGCCTGTGCACAGCCAGAGTGCTTCTCTTGCGTAATGCTACCTTCAAAAGAGGGGAGCACTGGCTTCTCAATTAGAACATTCAGCCTTTTCAAAGTGCTGCCCCAGCAGAATGCAGTGACCAGACTGGAGTGCCAAGCAGGACTGCTTCCATGGTTGCTGCTGCTGGAGAAGGTGCTGCACAATGCCCTGCTGCCATCTATATTCCAGCACTGCAGCTCAACAACAGGAAGAAAGTGCACAATGGGAAAAAGCAGCATGAGGCAGTACATCATGGTGCAGGTGCCTCAGCAGTTGCTATGCAGAACAGGACAGCCAAAAAGGGAGGCCAAAGTGTCTGCTGCAGCTGCAACCTTCTTGCTGCCAAACCCAATGGCAGAAACACAGAAACCATGAAAAAGGACTCTAACTGGATTCACAAATCAAACGTGCCACACTTCACTGTGCCTGCTGAATTCGCATGTAACAACAAGCCCTTCCTGTCATGGCTCATTATTATTTGTGAACATAGCCTATGTAATGAATCAAATTGTATTTGTTAACAGGAACTTTTATTTTGTGGAGTCAGATTTTGAAAAATAATCAATACAGTTGGTGGACAGCTACCACATTTTAATACAGAAAATTACAGTCATTGTAGATATTTTCTGCAAGAATGGTACAAATTACAAACATTTAATTAAACAACCACACCAGCTAATAGTGAGAGTTGGTAGTACATGACCTGGATTGACTGGCATCATTATGAAGCAGCCCTACATAACTGTCCCAGCAAGTAAAAACCCCACCAACCATATACTATGGTATATCAGGAGCGCAATAAAGCTTCTGTTTCTTATTTGCTTGGAACTGCAAATCTAAGGGTGGAGGGATTATTAAGTCCCTAGTAGGAAACAAAAGGGAAGAAGAACATAATTTAAAAATGCAGGCCAGTCTGAAAGTTTCCTTTAAAAATAATAATTATAAACATCCATGAGAGTTATTTGAGTCAAAATGCTTTTGCCTCAATGAACAAACTCTTTTTTGTGCAGGTTCATTCTCTCTTTTATTTCTGTGTTCCTATATTGATACTTTACTTCCTTCTCTGATAAGCACCTGGTTCACTGATGGATTGTGTTCAGCTTGGGAATTTGTGTAGTCCTTTAACACATAAATGAATACTCCATCATATTCTTCTCAAACAAACTATGACTGATGTGAGGTAATTTCAAATGGTAAAATTCTTACATGAGAGAAGCTGAGTGTGAAAATAATTCAGCCATCATGAAACATGAGGTGGCCATCCAATCAAAACCACCAAAAGCACAATAAAGCCATTTCTCTTCTTTTGAGGCCACATTTAATAAGTGGTTGAAGTGATTCTTCTGATGACCTGCCTCCCTTCCCCACCTCAAAATAATGTGCAATGTTTAATGCTGCTCTTGCACTAGCTATATACCCCACTACTGTAATGGGAAGCTGGCAGATCATGCAGCAATTGGAAATATTGAAACACTTGGTTCCAGGATGGGGCAGGTCAACAAAATATGCAACATTTGTCCCATTCAGGAAATGAATGTTTTCACTAAGTTATAGGTCAACAGCTCAAAGCATTAGCTCCTCTTGTATTTGCTGAGGCTCCCACTCATACTCAGCAGCAATTTTGCATAATGCCTGGTGTATTTGTCTTAATTTTGTACACATTTCATGTTATTCCATTGTGAATCCATGCAGAATCTGTTCTGCATTTTACTGAGCCATCAATCCTAAATGATTGCCAGCACTACAGACTTATGCCTGGGACTGAAAGTGGTTAAACAACACAAGAGTGATGGTCAAATCAGTCTATTTCTGGACAATATTAGTATTCAATCGAAATCCCATTTTCTCCAATTTATGCATCAGTGTGCAATTAAAATGTACACATTAATGCATTTATTTTTGTATGCAACTTTCCTCAATGTATGCATGTTTGTGCATAATTTTAATGCCTGGAATTTCATTTAAAAGTCATAGTAATTTGGGTCCAAAGAATAATTCTGTTCCAACGCACATATTAGTCTGTGAACTGTAAATTAAGTCTGTTTGTTTAAAGAAGATCAAATTAATTTCTCCCCCATTTGTTGCAGGTACTTGGTGAGGCAAAAAGACATTTAAACCATTTTGCTAGTTCAATTTATTAAAAAAAGCAAAGCAAGCACCCACCTCTACAGAAATGAAGAAAATAGCCTGCCAGTTTTGATATGACACACAGAATTCTGAATAATTCACATTTTGAGGGATAAAAATAAAAGTCATATTACAATGGCCACAATCCAGAGTACCAAACATGCATATTTCTTGGGTCTCTCAAACAACATAATATTACTAGAAAGAACAGTGAAAAAGCAGATGGAAGATCCAAAGATGGAACCAAAGGGTAACAGAAAACAGATTGGATTTATTGTTTTGATTTTTTTTTCTGTACAAAGTGGAATCACTGTTGTTCTGAATAGGATTGTAAATACATAGCTGCATGGCTATATTAAGACTGATACCATTTCTGATAGTTATTTTGAGGTAGTGTCTGGATTTTAATTACTAGTGAAATGCATTGTAGAGGCAGCAGGGAGTCTGCCTAGCAGGTTTGAATCATCGAAATAGGAGCAAATGTATTAGCTATTTTGTTTGTTCCCCTCATTTTCCACCTGCAGAAACCCTGGAATTGTTTCAGGTTTGCATAAGCTTCCTTATATTAAGCCACTTCTTGAGTAATTTTTAAATTTCCACTGGAACATCCAAAACAGTTGTGTGTGTGTGTTTTTATAATCTGGGCTCTTTTGGACTATACAAAAGCCCACTTCATGTGTTATTTGCATAAAAAAGCAAATCATATTTGAAGCACCAATTGGGTTACACTTTTCCAATGCTCCTGACGTTGCATTCCCTCCAGGAACATTTCACACATTTGTGTGGTTATCTATGGCAAAGACACCTTTATGTATGCACACACACAGAGAGAGACAAGCTTGCACTGTTCATGTAAGTAGATCATCACAATCTTAAACAAGGTCTCACTACACCCACAATAACCCTTCTCTGTCTTTCTTGTCCCTGCTTGGAAAGGAGAGGTAGCAGCTCTAGCTCTTTAGGCTTCTTTGTCAAGAATCAAAAATTTGAGAGAGAAACCACAGAGCACAAAGAGTTAAAACATCTTTTGCCTACTTGATTTAATGGTTTCTCTCTCAGGGTAGTAATCTTGAAGGAAACTATATAGTGCAATGAGCTAGAGTAATAAAAGACACTCTAACCCTCCATACTCATATGATGGACTACAACTGTGTACAAAGGTTCATTTGTACAAAAAGGAGGGAATTAATTTGATATGTATTTTGCCTTTCTTTTAAGAAAAATGGTACTCTACACACATGCAATAAGAAATTAAACAATTAAAACAATAATAAAACAAGTGTATTAAAATGCAAAAATAAAAAAACATCCAATGCAGACTTGCTTATATACCAAAGGCATCCTTTAAGAAGAGGCTTTTGCCTGCTGGCAGAAGGACAACAGTGAGGGACTAAACCTTGCCTACTGTGGCAGGGAGTTCCACAGCCTGGGAGAGGCCACTGAGAAGGCCCTCTGAGTAATACACCAATTACAGCAGCTCTCATGGGCTGCAGGGGTGCATCCAATCAGGGCTTGTGGGAGAGAGAATTTCAGGAATGAGAACATCCCCTTTCACACCTTGAAGCAAATCAGCTCTAAAGTGCTAAAGAGCTTGGGCATATGTGGGCTGCTAGCCCTAAACTTGAAGTCTTTTTTGCCATACTCGTAGTTAGAATGTGTGGGATGTGAAGAGATTTCTGGAGAGTGAGAAAAGGGGAAAGTGTCTGTTTCCCAAGTACAGAGGCAAGAAGTGTTTTCTGCTCATGAGCCCTTCTTCCTCCTCTGTCATCATACACCAATTCAGTGAGCTCTTTTTCATTAGTGTAAACCTCAGTAAGTTGTTACTGTTTTAATTGCAAGATATGACTTGCACATCCCCTCCCTAGCCGAGTAAATAAACCATGATTTGAAGCTTGTTTGCAATCTGGTTTGTAACAAGAAATTTTTGTTTGTGCAAAAGAGGAAGTAACTCATTGAATCATAGCAGCAATGAGGGTGGGGGTGGCCTCATTCGCATGCATTAAATTGCAGCAGAGCACTGCAACTAAGCTGAGCCACTGTATTGAACAATGACCCAAGTACTACAGATCCAGGTAATGAATGGTCATTTATGGATGGTCAAGTGTCTGAAGTGATCACTGTCAACATCTTCAGACTTTCTTCAATCCTGCTTCACCCATTCTCACAAGACTCTCAATCTAGAATATCCAGAGATATATACAGTGGTACCTTGGCTCACAAACTTAATCCATTCCAGGATTCTGGTCGTGACCCAAATTGGTCGTGAGCCAAGTCAAATTTCCCTGTAAGGCTCAATGTAAATAAGGTTAATTTGTTCTGTAAATATATTTTTTAATCACAGGGAAGACAGGCATGATTGTGGGCACGCTCGGGGGGGACACACATGCAATTGTGGGCATGCTTGGGGAGAGACGAGTATGATTGCAATCGTCACCTGATGCAGAGTTTGCGACCTGAGTAAAAAATTTTCTTAAATTTGTGTTTGCGACCCGATTTGGTCGTGAACTGAGGCATTCATGAGCTGAGGTACCACTGTATTGTAAGTCTCTTATCAAGGATGCCAATACAGAGTTGGCAATTTACTTACAAAACTTTACTCTCTGTGATGTAAAGATGGTCTACTACTTGCATATACTCTGCTAGCACATGGTACTGCTGCTCATGCAACTAATCATTTCAGAGATTTCCACAAGTACAATTCGAGTTTGTGGAATTTCAACTGTGTGAGAACATAAGAAAAGTTATGCTGGATCAGACTCAAGGTCCATGTAGTCCAGCACTCCATACACATGGTGGCAAACCAGCTGCCCACAGGACTGCTCAAGCAGGATGAGTACAGGACCTCCAGTTGCCTAAACCCCTCAGCATCTGGTGTATGCAGGCATGCTACCTCTGGTGAAGGAGGCTGCATTTAGCCTGTGTGTTTGTGTGTGTGTGCGCGCGAGGGAGGGAGAGAGCGAGGGAGGGGGAGGGAGCATATTTCAATCCAGTTGTTTGTATCTGACTTGTCTTCATTGCTGTCTCTGCTCCCTGCTGTGGGTACAAAGCACCTTATAATGGAACAGTGTATAAAGTAGATTGTAACTAAATATTTTGCATTATATGATAACAGAAAGTACTAATTAATAAGCAAAACACCAGTATTTTACCTGTTTTTGAGGAAAGTCCTCTGGCTATTTCTAAAGAACATGGTTTCTTTGTAACTGTTGTATCCAGAAAATCACAGAGATCATTCTCATTTTCTACAGGAAATGCATAAGAAGAAGCAGATGGCACTGCTTCCAATGTGTAACTCCTCTTCTTTGGAAATGACTCCTGAAATATAGAAAAAGGATTTTATGATCAAGACAACCTTGTTGAAAACAACCAAAAAAAAAAAAGGAGGGGGGAACCTGTAACAAATATGTTTTTTAAATTACCAGATAAACAGTGCAATCTTTTAAGTATCTACTCAGAAAAAAGTCCTGTTTCATTCAACAGAGTGGGCAGAATGTAGATCACCACATGTATTGAACTTCAACTCCCAGATACCCCTGCCATTACAGCCAATAATCAGGAATGCTGGGAACTGAAGTCCAAATCATCTAGAAAGTTACTTGCTGTCCACATTTCCAGTGGGGCTAAGAATTCTCATGATTTTTAAATGAATCTTTTCCTCAAGAAATAATTTGTTAATCTAACAAGCTATCTTCTGGACATCAGAACAAGTTATTGAAACAATGATAGGAAAATCTACCCAAGGAGCTACATTTACAGTATGACTGTTTCCTGTGTGGGAGATAACAGGAAAAACAGGAAAAAAACACAATTCAATTTTTTTAGCATCAATTTTATTCTTTTCTTTGTCCAAACATAAAGTGATTTTTAGTACTGTTGACAGTTTGTAAGGGCTATTTCATCAGCTGATACAAGCAGAATGCCTATATAGTCATCAGAGACTATATATTTCATCAGAGACTAATTTTAATCAGTTAGAGAACATTCAGCCTTCAATCTTTACCGGCCATTCTGAAACATCAGAGTTATTCCAGGTTACATGAGGAGTAGTTACTTAAAACTGAACAGCTGAACCCAATTCAGATTTGGATCAAGACAACAGACAGTTCTAAAGCAGAGGATCTGAACCTGCTTCTGTTCAAGTGCCAGATTCCATTCCAGAGAAATTCTTGGGGGCTGTATTTCAGTGGCAGACAGAGGCCACAGGCAAAAGTGGGCATGGTTAGAGAAAATCCAAGTCTCACAAAACTCTCTTTTTACCAGTTCACAGCGTGATGTTTATCTACTATAGCAGTAATACTGTGTGTGAGTCAGTGGGTGGTTTGCCTGGTGCCTATGTGTTTGTGAGCAGGGGGTGGTAGAGGAAAGGGAAAGGTTGCAGTTTGTGTGCCATATTGTGTGTCAACAGCTTGCCTTTTATGAATTGTGTGTTTTCTCCTCCCCACTAAAACTCTCTGCATCCCTGAACACTGGCTATGGTGGCAGGGGCTATGACAGTTGAGGTCCAACACATCTGGATGGCACCAGTTTAAGGAAATACACACACTTAGCAGCTTAAACCCTAACTTTTACTGGACTGTTAAAATATTGCATACTTTAAACCTCACAGTTCTACACATCACTTAAGCATTTAGAGAAAAACGAACGTGCTACATGGCCAGCTGGCAGGATACTATGCTCTGAGGATGAGGATCTATGAGCAGACTACAGCCTAGTTCTCACAACCCATTGCCTGGCAAACTGTACTTTGCCTGCACCAATTCAGGCAGCATACAGAAGCTCATATGACTGGATGCTCTACTATACCAAAAAACAAAAACTGAATTTCAGGGAGCATGCTTGGTTAAGAATCCCTGTCTCTGCCATGCTAGTTTACTATGAGCAGGGATGGGGAAGTAGGATGGTAGATCTGAACATCTTAAATTTAAACTTCTAGCTAATTCAGACAATAACAACAAATTTACAACACAGTCCAAAGTGACTGCTCTTACCCCCTAAAATACCAGGTAAATTCAGTGTCCAGGGGTGCTTTCCTCCAACTGCAGTGGATTTATCAACTTCACCCCTACCTGGACAAAAAGAGCCTGGTAACATCCAAAATAGATTATTGCAATGCGCTTTACATGGGGCTGCCCTTGAAGACCGTCTGGCATTTACAATTGGTATAGAATCGGGCCACTTGGTTAGTGATGGGAGCTCCTAGAGAAGCCCATATAACACCTATATTAAAAGAACTAGACAGGTTACCAATTGTGGCCCAGGCCCAATTCAAGGTGCTTGTTTTGACATATAAAGTCCTAAATGGCTTAGGCCCCAGTTACCTTAAGGAGCACCTATACCCATATATGTTGTGGTGTTTGTTTTATTCTACTCATTTTCGTAAGCTGTCCTGAGACGCTAGTAGTAGATGGGTGAGAAAAACTTTTAATGCATAAATAAATATGCCTACCTGGCCTTTACAATCACTTCTCTCCCTTAGAGAAGTAAGAGGGATGGATGCTAGGAAGAAGGCTTTTTCTGCAGCTGCCCCCCCCCCCCCCCCCCCACATTTGGATCTCTTTCTAAGGAGAGTCGCCTGGCACCTTCCTTATACTTCTTTCAGCATCAAAGACCTTTTAAAAAAAAAAAAAACATTTTAATATTTACCAGATGCCACCGAACCCCTATTTGTATTTTAAATGATGTAGTTTATTTATTGGATTTTCTATATGTATTACTGTGTAGTTGTTTAGTTTCATAGTGGTTTTTAATTGTTTGATTGTGAGCTGCCTAGAGATGCCATGGTGTAATAGGTGGCATATAAATGTTTTAATAAATAAATAATAGTCCTCCACACTTGGAGGATTATGGGTATCTAATGGAGGGTAGAAGGAGCATGGATGCAAAAGTTGGCATCATGCTTCTCTGTCTTGCAAAAGGTTTAGATGGCCAAAATCTACCATCTAAGTCTTTTGTCTTAGCATGAGAGGAGGAAAAGCTGAGATGCTGCCATGAGACATCATTTGATAGTGGACCCTTATTCCTCCCCTCCCTACCCAGAAGCCTCCTGCTCTGAGTTTAGTCTTATGATCTCAGAGCTGCAGGGGAAAGGACCACATCAGATGTAAGACTGGAAGGAGGGCATTCTGAGGTCAGAGTTAGAGCATGTTTCCAAGGTTGGAGCTGGAACTCCAAAGTCTCCTACAGCCAGCTAGACTCTGTCCATTAGTCACAGCACTGCATTGTTACTTTCAAAGTTTTTAAGCACAGGGATATGTTAGATAAAATGTATCTTCAACAGAAATCGCTTTATGTTCCTAAATGCATCTCCCCAACCTGGTGCCCTCCATTTGCTTTTGCCATGCTGTCTGAAATATTTATTTCAGTTCTATACTGCCTTACAGCTGAAGCTCCTCTCTTCACCTTGAAAGAGATCCTGAAGGCAACTTGGAGTACAGGCTTATGGATCAGCTCTGGGACTTAAAGGCCAGAAAACACATCTGAGTTGGTGGCAGTGGTTATTGGAAATCAAAGGGCCTTTGTGGTTGCCCTAAATTTATCTTCACTCCCCTTAGTATCTTCACCCAGCAAGCTACCTTAGGGTTAGCATACGCTTAGGTTGTCAGAACATCTGAATCCCCCATGCCAATTCTGTTCTAACCAATAAATCTGTGGACAGTTTGAAATCCAGTCACCTGTGTAGGTCTTGCTTTACCTCACTTCCTGCTGCAGTCATCATTGTTCATCAAGTTTAAATGGATATCCAATAGCTGGCTGGAGCTAAGAACAAAACTACCAAAGGAATAGTCTTACTACTGAGTTATAAGCAATTATCTTCCCCTCAATTTGCAATCCTGTCACTTGTATGTGTATATGAAGAAAGTATTTTGTATATCTGTTTGTATGTTATTTTAAAATGCAATGTGAAAAACATAATACAGCTTTCCATCAAGTCTTCATTTTGATTCATCATCCTTCTCAACCAACATAAAAAGTGAAAGACAAGAAAAAATAAATAAAACCTGTGGGTAAAGAGTAGATCTTAATCTGTAAAGAATCAGGGAGCAGAAGTAGTGGATTTCAAAGCCTTGTTTAGAAAAGTCCTAACAATTCTAGAGTAATTTGAAAAGAGTATATAGGACACTACACTGGTCCTATCAGCAACAATATCCTACAAAGAAGTTGAAAATCTAGTGGGAGTTGTTTTGTGTGGACTGAATATTCTATATTTTACCATGTAAAACATTTTGAAATACAGTCAAGATACATAACAATCATGAGATATACAATCATTAGAATTACAATCACTGAGCCATACTTTGTTGGTGCAAATGTGAAAATCTATGGTGATTTATGCTGCTCAAGAATACAAGTTTCTAAAGCATCTTGACTGGAATTTTCTCTGTTTGATGCACAAATATAATTTGTGTACTTTACAAGAAAAAGAAATGTGGAAATTGGCTGCTAAGTTACTTGTGTCATGCAAAATAGAGGACAAAATTACATTCATTTTAGGATAACCTTTACTAGCTTATTTCCCTGTTAAATTGCTAGCTATTTGCATTGATTGTGGTAATTACATTTGAATTACCTTTCATCTGTTGATTCTGACAATAGCATCATCTGCTCATCTTGGTAGGGAATATACCCAGGAGCCATATTAGGTGGGCTAAGTACATAAGTAACCCTCCTTCTCAATGATCAGATTCCATTTGAGAAATACCTTCCAGCATACCCTTTGTCAGCAATCTGGGGAACTTGCTTAAATATTATTAATGTCATGGCATGGTCCCCTGAATTTATAAATGATACTATTATATTGGCAAACAACAACATCAATATCAATACAAAGCTTGAAGTTTACACTGTGAATTCTTGACTTTAAAGTGGAATTTCTAAGTGCTAGGTAAACTGGAACTTCAGTAGTCTTTAAGAACATACCACCCACATATTCAAGCAGCTACTTGAACAGCTAGCTGAAAAGGGCAATGTGTATTCTGCCCTGGGAGAGCCAGCAGGTAGCAATTATACCTTACTTAAGATTGAGGTAAAATCAGCATACTGGGGGAAAAAAGCAGGGATTTATTTTAGTGCTTCCTTATACTGATTGTTACTTTCCACAAAAATTAAGCTAACCCCCTTTTTTCCTTTGGTACAATTTATAGTTATTTAACAGTTTGAGATTCCTGATGCACACACCATGGAATACATATCCCCTCACCTCAATTATCCCACTTAAACTATCCTATATGGCATACAACATAATAAGGAATTAAAAATACCCCCTCTGTTTAATACCATGGGGAATAGTGCTAGACAAGCAGCTTCTTATTGTACCA